GAGCTGCGGCTTGAACGGGCCTTCAGTGCCGACGGCCTGGTTTCCCCCCCAGCGACAGATGGGGATGATGAGGATGATGAGGAGGAAGAGGAAGACAGCGACGAGAACTGCTTGAAGCACAGCAACGGCAAACGGTGTAGCATGGTGGAGGCCTCACCATGCAAGAAGCACCAGGGGGGCCTGAGTGTGCAGGGGTCCCTGCGACGGCGCACGCACAGCGAGGGCAGCCTGCTCCAGGAACCCAGGTCGCCCTGCTTCGCCTCCGATAACGCCATCCACTGCATGGAGACGGCGGGGGGGCACAAGGGCGGCTGGACTCTGCCTTCCCCCAAGACCTTGAAGAAGGAGCTGGCCAAGAATGGAGGATCCATGCATCAGCTTTACATGCTCTTCTCTGGGAGGAAGGTCAGTCCCCTTTATGCCAAGAGTCTCATCCAACTCTCCCGGCTTGCTGTTGTCATCTGTGTGTGGGCAAACTGGAAAAATTACAGAACAAAATTTAGTATCGTATGGAAAGCTTTCTGAGATGGATTTTTGCCATGTGTTGTTTAACACAAACAAATCCCTGTAATGCAGTAGCAGTGACACTCCCTCCCTTGTGTAAAATTTGCACTGTTCTCCTTAGTTATACTGTGAACGCTTTGATTTCACAAAAACACGAGACGCAGAAGCATTAGAGAGCATTTCACACTGGAGGGAGGTTAATTCTTCATGCCACAGTTTTTCATGTCATTATCCTCATCTTCAGAACTGCAAATTAAAAATAGCTGAGCTTAATTTAATTAAACTGCACGGAGTAAAATGTTCTCCGGTATTTCAGAAGTTTTATTTTTATCGTTAGTAATGTGGAGGGCAATGACTGCTCCTTTTATATGCTGGACCAGTTATTGTCTGACACCTAGTGATGAATAGAAGGAACTGCTTAGAAAAGCAAGCCTGCGCTGAGACTGACTTCTCATGATACCGTGGTGAGTCTGTAGTGTCTCTTTAGCAGTGTTTCTCGGTCCGGTCTTCGAGGACCCCCAGACGGTCTATGTTTTTGCTCCATGCTGGTGGTCCAGGTTTTTGCTCCTTCCTAGCTCCCCAAAAATATGGACTGTCTGTGATCCCTGAAGACCGGGTTGAGACACATTGCTCTACAGGACAGGGGCTTGTTACAGATAGTGTATTTACAATCCCTACTTCCTTTAATATTTTTTTTTGGCCGTAGTTTCCAAAGAGATGCTAATATAACCCAAAAAAATGCTGGTTCAAGGCCTGAAAGAGTTACCATTTAAAGCAGCAGTATGAATTGATTTAAAAGGCATCAACCAAGCAAATTAATGTAAACTTAGGTCATGTTTTAATCAAGAACCAAACTTGTGGCTACAAGGTCTCAGGCTGCAATACCAAGAACAGGGCTGTTAAATCCTTGAATAGGGAGTTTATCTCAGACTGCTTCAGGAAATAACCTCAGTTGTCTTTGCTACTGATGGAGCCTTTTCCTTAATTAACCTAAAAGGTACGGCTTAAAGTCATTGCAAGACAAACAGGGTGAGACTAACTGTGATGGTTGTTTGCAGAGAAGCGGTTTTAATCCATCTGGCACTGATGGTCTTTAAGTTACTGGGGTGTCTGTTTCTGCTTCCCTGGCTCTCTCTCTATTGTCTGATGCCTCCAGCATCGTGTTTGATGCCTGCCGTAGTTCACTTTGTGCTCCCTGTGCCCAGCTGTATCTCCTCCCAGAGTTCAACGACAACATTTATATTTTTGATTGAAGATAACATAAAACATTTCATAATGGAATAATTCAATCCTAGTAACATTTGGAACATAGTCTCCCATGGCCATGAAAAAAAAATATCAGAGGATGTAAATAAATCACGGGGCCCTGATGGCATCTTACCTATAGTGTTAAAAGAGATGAGGGATATTATTTGC